ACTTCCTTACATAAAATATTTTCCTATAATTCTATATTTTGATAGTAAATCTATCCAATTTTTGAGTGATTCGTTATAATAAAATTTAGATCGTTTATAACAAAAGAAACAATAGTAAATAAGGATAAATGTAATCGAAAATTGTCATCTTTTCCTTCATATTATTTACATTTTTTTAAGTAAGTAATGAAGTACGTCTGGTTGTCTGTCTTCCTTTTCTTTTCTTACTTTTATTCTCGTATAAACGTTGAAGAAGTAGCGTGATAAAATTAATTAATCGTATGTTTATATACTTTATAATTAAATAAATAAATATTCAAGCCCGAAATTGTATAGAAAATATATCAATAATGAATAAAAGATGAAATATTAAATAATTTAAAATTTTATTTTATATTTTTTAAACTCAATTTTTGGAAGTATTCGTGTACAGGAGTCGACAAACTACTGTACATTTAAATGAGGACATTCGTAATGGAAAAACCACAGGAAACTTCCATTCTATAAAAATATATTATTTACAAATTCTAAATCTTTATTTTCTTCCTAAAATTAAATAAAAATTTAAAATATTCCCATTAAAATGTTTACAAATAAATTTTAATAAAATTATTATCTTTATAGTCTTTTAATATTTTATTTTTTAATAATTAATTATTTATTTGATACGTCATTAATTTCCAATTAAAGATGTTTTCTATTTATTAATTTTATCTAAAAATTTATTTTCATTAAGTTATCCGAGAAAGATTTTTTAAAACGCATTTAAATTGATTTAATTTAATTCCAAGTGTTATTTATTTTAATTGTTTCGAAAAATTGTGTTTTAATAATCAATTTCTGTATTCTAATTATTTGTTTTAATTACAATTAAAAACGTAATCGGTTACTTTCTAGGCTTTTTTAATAAATAATTGTAAATTAATTACAATTAAAACACGTAATCAATTTCTTCTCAAGGTCAACTTGTTTAAATTGATTACAATTAAGTAAACTAATCGATTTCTCTCGAGATTTTTTAACTGTTTAGTTTACTTAATTGTAATCAATTTAAACAGTTAAAAAATCTCGAGAGAAATCGATTAAATTGANTTGTTTTACATAAATTATACTTAAAAAAAGAAATAAAATACAATTTTAAAAAGTAATCTATTTCTATAACAAAAATACGAAATCGATTACCTTTTCAATTGTAATTTATTTAACAGTTAAAAAAAAACTCAGAAAGAAACTGATTAAATTATTAAATACATCACAATTAAAACTAATCAATTTCTTTTTAATTACAATTAAACAAAGGTGTCGCTTTTTCTCTTTTGAATTGTTAAGAGAAATTGATTAGTCGTTTAATTGTAATTTATTTAACCGTTTAATTCGTTGAATAAAGCGTGATAAAATTGAATTAATTGTAATTTATTTATTAATAATTGCCATTTAATTCAAAAATTTTAAATTAGTTTCATCGTCATTATAATAATGCTGAAACTAATTGAAAGTTTTAGAATTAAATGGCAATTAAATAGTAGAACATAAGCGAGTAAAATTAATTTTAATTCCTGATTTAAAATATATTAAAAAATTATCTAAAAATATAAATTTTACGTAAAAATGCGTGTACATTTTTTAACCAGTTTCGTCATTTTAAATTTATATCTTTCACGTTCTATAATTTAACAGGGATTTACATCTTTGCATCACGTTTAATATCATTGTCTATAACAAGATAATAGACCCCTTTTTTTTCCTTAAAAAATCCTCAAATTTTCTGTGGTAGATGCATAGGTCAATGACGCGAATGACGTAAAAGAATCTACAACAATAGTTTCACTTGTTATTTAATAAAATTGTCCCTTTTTTTATTGTTATTATTATTATTGTTTTCACCATTTTTTCAAGAAAAGATTGTGACATTTGCCACGTTTCTTAACTTTTTTAAAATCATTTGTTTCGTGAAATATTCGAGCGAAACGTTAAGGGATGACGTAACTTACACGCGATGTCCTCACCCCCTCTTTTGAATAATTATGTAAATGTGGCTTTTGCTATTGTTGTTCTTTCTTTTCTTTCTGTAACTATGCAGATTTTTATCAATTGTTTTACGTCAGTGAATAAGTTTAAGATTATTTTTAGATCCTTTAATACTTTCCTAAATATATTTAAAACTGTATTTTACTTTCTGCTAGATCGGTTTAAGGTAATTAATGATTTGATAATTTGTAATTATTATCCTTAATTAAAATTAAAATTTTTGTTTTACATAAATTATACTTAAAAAAAGAAATAAAATACAATTTTAAAAAGTAATCTATTTCTATAACAAAAATACGAAATCGATTATCTTTTTAATTGTAATTTATTTAACAGTTAAAAAAAAACTCAGAAAGAAACTGATTAAATTATTAAATAATCACAATTAAAACTAATCAATTTCTTTTTAATTACAATTAAACAAAGGTGTCGCTTTTTCTCTTTTGAATTGTTAAGAGAAATTGATTAGTCGTTTAATTGTAATTTATTTAACCGTTTAATTCGTTGAATAAAGCGTGATAAAATTGAATTAATTGTAATTTATTTATTAATTTTAATGCCGATTTAATTAATTATTTAAATCATTTCGCTTCTCTTTTAACAAGTTTGTTTCCAGTTGATAAATTTTATAATGTGTTATAAACGGAAACAATTTACCTTACTACTGACGATAGCATATTTCTTTACCTTACTTTTTATGTAACGTTATAGCAAGTCGTCAATGTATCACCTGATGAAGTTAAAAACACTTAAAAAGCAAATAAAATCTTGAAGTTTTACTTTATAGCATTATAAATTTGAGGTAAACAGCAATCTTTATGGTATTTTAAGCAATAAACCCGAAGTCTATATTAGATTCCGGATAGAGTCACGTAACAACACATCCGGGAAGCATTTCTTTAAAATTTATTACAGGACATAGGTACGTTGGGGGTTTAGATTTTACTACAGAAAACATATTTTGTTCGAACTAACAATGTCTTTACATTACTTCTGCTTTAATATTTACTACATACTAAATAACAGTAAAAAATTAGAGTATGAGCTGTATCTTTTTACAATTATATACCTTAACTCTACAGGATCTGTCAACTCTGCGAAAAGCATTGAAGCGTGATCTTTGTGTCCCAAAACATTAAACCATATTCCGGTGTGTTAGAGGTTTCGAAAGTAAACTTTGAACTCTTCAACTTACTGTATATTTAATATATTTTGTTACGTGCAATTCTCACAAAGATATTGGACCCGAAAATAGTTTAAGTTGACTAAAAATCGTAACCCCCATCCCTCCCTTCCAGTGTGGACATCACTTATGAGCAGGGACCTATTTATTTACAGGTGCGTAAGGGTCCAGTAGAGGCTCTCGCAGAGGTAAAGGTAAATTCTTGGGGCTACAAAATACTTTTGAAGAAGGCCCCGCAAGAGGTTAATGTTATAAAAACAAGTCACAGATTTATCCAATTGTTAAGAAAGTTTTCAAATTGTTAACCTATTTCTTAATGTTTTTAAATAATAGAATATTAGACACGTATAATTTTATTATATGAAAGTTCCTATTTTGTATTTAACCATTATTGTAATGCTCAATGAATGAAAGCGTGTTACAGACACAACCCTGTACTGATTGGGTGGGGTTGCATTGACTCGCTGGAATTTTTCTTAGAATTTCTACGTAAAGAAAAGGATTACAACTGCCCACTTGCTAAAGTGTGGACGTGTATTATCTCGTCTCTGTTCTAGAAAAACCGTGACCGAGTTGAACGTTGATTACGGACGGGTTCAGTACTTTCCCCATAGAAAGTCTTTCCGGAAGGTATTCCCTTGACAGATCGTTCCTAAGGGAGCTACGAAGTGGATAAACCCTCTCAGATTAGTAGTGATGATAAACTGTGAATGTTGTTGTTATACAATAACACAGTGTTTCAATCAATCTTAACACAGTGTAGTCGTGCTCTTTATCATCTTCAGACCAATTGAAATGGTACGTAAACAACGTGCATAACTGAAGTGCATGTAGAAGCATACAGCAGCTTGCTTTTTAACTTATTATTTTTACTGACAGTGAGTTTTATTTGTATTTTGCATATAATCCGCATAATTGATAGAACGCATAGCCTACACCTGTCGTCGAATTGACTTTTAAAACACAGGTAACCCGCGGATTATGCACACAAAACTATGATAATTTCTTTCATCTTTGTCCTAAATAGTATTAGATTTATTAAACATTCGTGACTCTAAAAACTATCCTGTAAAACCGAAGAACCGCTTCTTATTAATCTGATAATTCTTTGCCTTCTTAGTGTCCATGGGTGGACAGCCAAAACTAAAAATGAATATATATAATGGAATATTTTTTTAATTTTTAATATAATTAAGTTTTATTATTTTATCATTATTTAATCTAAGAAGTCATTGACCTAAATTCAACTATCATTAAAAAATATATATTATTTTAATGCAAATATTAAAAAAAAATTACAATTTATCGAGATGTCCTTCACTTATTTAAGTTTTATTTATAGAAGTCCTTTAAATTAATAAAACATTTTTATTTTTTTGTCATAAATAAGTATTTTCCTAGTTTATCCTTTCATAAAAATTATATTAAAAGGACCTTGACCTTAAAATATTTAAATGCAACTCACTTATACATCTTGAACTAATGCTACTGATCGAATGTCGGTTGTATTTACGTTTCGGACGGGTTCAGTACTTTTTCCGTGTTGAAGAAACGTCAGTAACGTTCGTTAATAATAAGAAATAAGATATGGAAGTTCGTTAATCCGGTATATACAGGACCAGAGTAGTTCATATTCAGAATTAACACCCACGTGCTTTTCAATCTGAAGATGATGCACTGCACGATTATACCGTGTTAATACTGATCGAAACACCCGCACAAACGTTAATTAACGAACGTTCTGTTGCGTATTATCATCATTCACAATGATTAGTATGCATATAATAATTTATTTTCCAAACATGTACAGTACTGGGTGTTTACTGCGCCACGTATTCAAATTCCGATTGGAACGAAATTGCTACAAGAATTCAATATAAACCCGTAAAAATACTTTTGCATTTAAAACAATCTTTGACTTCTATAATTACTGTACTTTGTTCTCTGTACATCTTTATTTTTCCTACCTTCTGCTTCTTCACTTGAACGCGAGTCAATAGGGCCATGATGAACTCTAACTCGACAGGATCTGTCAACACAGAAAACATCTTTGATGACCGATCGTCGTTTGCACGCCCTAACAACATTAAAGCATAATTGATCTTGTCCTGTTCGAGTTTCGGTCTGTCAGCAATTTCGAAAGTGAACTTTGAACTCTCTTCGTCCACGCGACAGACATTATCGTTACGTGTTGTGTAGTACTCTCGAATTTTCATGTTTCTCATGGCTTCTTCCAAGGGTTTTTTCTGTTTAGTTTTACAAGGAAGCGAATCGATGTTATCTTTATAAAGGATGATCTCGTGTTGTTCTTCTGTTAATTGAACAGCTGCCATCAACGTGTCCTTATGCACAATGAATTTTGTAACGTGCAATTCGAACATTTTACCACAGATTTCTTGCACCTAAAAGGAATATAAGCTGAGTAAATTACTTAAGAAACTGGTGTTATACTTAAATCACATATCCCTTCTTAAAATGAACCAGTTTATATGTAAACAATTCTATATACAGAGCTTATATTGACTCTATACACAGCTGATAGAGCCTATACTTCTACTTAGATCCATTATTAATATATAATGTACAGTAAAACCTGTGTAAAACGTAAAATTTATTTGAAATATTAAATTATATTTCTAAAAAAACGTTCCGCCCTTTACCAAATTTTTAACTTACTTTATCAACAAGATAAGCGGCTCTACCCTCATCTGTTATTCCAGCGCAGCAAAATGTTGACATACAGAATATCACGCTTTCTTGACAGAATTTCTCTTTCATTCCATCTAAAAATATAAATTCTTATAGAATAGCAGCATAAAAATACATTTTTTTTCACATTTACTCATAATGTACCAATGTCTTCGTATAACTTCTTTATATCTTCGTCGTTGAAAAGAATAGAAAGTATGTCTTGAGCTTTCTTAAAAATCCAATGACCGTCGGAGGGACTTAAAAACCATCCGGTGAACCAAGGTACCACTTCTTCCCATCCTAATGATCTGTCTTTGTAATATTTCTCCCGCAATTTTCTCGAATTTGCTCGCTGAAGATCCTTCGAAAAAAAGATTCGTTTTAAAACTTTGTATGCTTTGTATTCCTGGTATTTATTAATACTACGTATTTCAGTTGTATAAAAAGGCAGCAGGGGCCCGCTAAAGTGCAAAAGAAGTCCCCTCTAACATTGGGCCCCATACCAAAGTTTTCACCGGTGGCATTCGTCATAACTTAATCAAAAATTAAGATGGATCAAGGCTCGCTCGATCCCACCAAATAAAAAAAATCTTGGTTTATGAATATATAAAATGAATTATTAAATAAATTTTAATCTGGTGTACTGTATATGTAAATACACAAACCTTTGCAACGAGTTTACATTTTCTTGGTGTTTCCACTAAAATTACAGTATAATGATGTCTTCTTAATATATCCATATAAGGCTCCAACTCCCATTTACGAAAATGGGAATTTTTTATGACAAGAATTGAGGTGTTTTCACCACAGTATTCTTCTAACCTGTAATTAAAATCATCCAAATTATTTCAAAGACATTAAATCCTTGACAAAATTGCTGAAGTGTTTTACCTCTTTTCGCACCATTCGTGAGATTTTCTTAACTTCATCTGGGTTCGATTACAGGAAGAAGATGGTGTAGTATCGGATGATTCGTCAGTATCAAAGTAAGAATCTGCCGAACACACTTTAGCACTAGGATATTTATTCGTGATCACATCCGTAAGTGTTTTCTTACCCGAACCGGGTGGGCCTCTAATGACAAAAGCCAATCTTCCGTGTTGATTAAGATAATTGATGGTTTCTTCGTTTGTCAGGTATACAAAATCGAATGTCTCTATCGCTGGTGCATTGTCTTCTATCTCAGAATCTGGCCCAGAAGAATCGGTTTTTGACTTCTCCGGAATCTCTGAGAAATATTTATTAATTATTACGTAAACAGACGACTGCCAAAAGAGTTGCTCAATTATAAACTATGAGAAAGACCCTTAGAGTATTCAAAATAGGAAGAAAATAAACTATATATTACCTAAAGCTTCCTGTTTTGTTATTGCTGCTGAATCCATTATTACGTGTTGTGTTCACCTAAATATAAAAGAATAATAAAATTTTATAACCTTTTACAACATAAAGGCATTTTTTATGTACAACAGACGTTTTGAATATGCACTTTTCTATGGTTAAAGTGCATATTTTTGATCAAGAACACGTGTCGACAGATTAAAATTGTGTACTCGAATGCTTAGAGATTGGCGTATGTAATTTTAATCTCAGAGCACCACACGGGTCTTTGATCAAAAATTCCTTAAAAATTAATTGAAATTAACTGTTAAATCGAACACGAAAACAATGGTACTTTATTATTTATCGAAATTATATCAATTATTTGATTAATTAGAAGATTTAAATCTACTTTAAGCTTACTTTTCCGCCTGCTTTTTCAGTATCTCTACGCTTACTCAACTGTTTAAACGTAGCTTCTACCTATGCAAGAGATTATTTATATAACTACTATAAAATCGATTTTATACTATAGAACATCCGCCGATTTAATGTAATTGCATATAAACACGAAAGAGAAATCCTAACAAATGACAATACCAATTTTTGTCGTTTACTTTTCATTCGTCCCCTTTGCTCTTACAGTCTCGTGTGAAGGATTTAATGAGTCAACATTATTCATTTAATAATTAAGCAATGAGTAACGTATCGTCTTATTCGCTATTATCAATAAACTTGTAAGCGGATCGTCCCAAGACACCAAACAATACAGCTGACCCCCTAACTCCCTCACGTTACTGAGCAACCATAAGAATTTGTTACCCATAAGTACAGTGTTACTCTGTGTCATAATTTAATCGTATATACATCGATAAATGTTATCAAGAAGTAAATACCAGCTATTATCGATCGCTAAAGTTGTTTTAGTGATTGATCGAAACCGATCGATTTCATTGAATTAGCTAAGAGGTCGCATATTACGTGCTGTAACCTATACGAATAATCCAATCTAATCCACACCCCTCTAAAATGTACTTAATAAAGCATTTTAGCAAGAATTTAAAAGGAATTTACGAGCCTAGCGTGCATAAAACACACAAAAATAAACTCGAATAGATGAAACAAATGTAAATTCTTTTTCTCATTTTACCTGTAACTTTGGACAGTCGATGGCTTACGTGGAAGGTGGCGAGGAGGATGAAGAGGAAGAGAAATGCTATTGTTTGGAACACTGATAAATTTCATTTGTTTGGGCCGGGGATACTTACATACTGTACTCACAAGCAATACAGATTTAACGTAGAAGTGTGATTTATTTATAACAGTTGTGTGATTTAACGCGTTATTGCTAACGTGAGACTGTATTGTTTGTTTAGAAGCTTAGTTTAAACACATTACTTCGCAATTTGTATGAATAAAATCGAATCGAAATGTCTGGAAATAAAAGCGTGTCAAACATATGCTTCGTGAGTTTTGACAATGGTATAATATAAATAAACAATTTTAAAAAAGATCAGCAAATAGTTGCGTAACTTTTCCGGCAAAAAAAATTCAAAATTTTATAAAGAAAAGATAAGGGATTAAAATGGAAATAAGAAAACAGTATTTGGGAAAGATATTTTATCTGTTAACAATTAGTAAAGGAAAAGTTCAAGTGCACGATCTTCTATATTTATTATTACAACCATTAAAACATTTACAACAATTTTGAGTCGTAGCAAGAAGACAAATGATTGATTATAGATTTACTAATCTGTTTATCTATTTACTTTCNTTTTGACAATGGTATAATATAAATAAACAATTTTAAAAAAGATCAGCAAATAGTTGCGTAACTTTTCCGGCAAAAAAAATTCAAAATTTTATAAAAACAAAACACCGGATAGATCGATTGTAACGAGGTTCGACAGGCAGTAAAATACGTTGCCAATTGAGCCAATGAAACACGCACTAAAAGGAAAATAAATGGACTAACCTGTCATGGAAAAATTAAAAGTAAAGGTTGAAAGTCCAGTAACTAACAGTAGTTACTTGATAAGGGACAGTTCACTTTAACAGGGTGAGAGGAAGTGTTTATCAGTAGAAGTGTTTTCGTTGTTAACGCTCTTACACGACGACACTGCTCGCGCGATCCATAAATAAGTTGTTTAAAATGATTAAAGTATGCAATTAAAATGTGTGTAGAGAGTGTAAATAACCTTTATGTTGTAAAAAGTCATACAATTACATTAAGAGATTTTTACAGATTTAAACAATTAATGGAATCGATGCTTTCGGAAGTCAGGATAGATATAGAATAGAAGAAATTACGTAAAATACTTCATAATTGTTCTTGTTTATAGATTTTATCGCTAATTTAGTCTCAATTAATTTAATATTAATGCATATTTTACATCATTAAAGACCGAGTTCTGCGATACTGGTAATCAAAAACCCAAAAATATTCCACATTTAGACAATAGAAGAGAAATTCATACCTTATATGGACTACACGAAACGGTTTCTATACATGTTTTCTCAATTTATATGATAAATATATTATATAGCATTTAGTTCGTTTAATACAGGGTGCTTCAAAAAAATTTTAACACTTATGTGAAGAAGGTACGCAGTCAACGCGGAGGAATAGAAGGTCATTACCTTTTGAGAATTACATAATGAGTTCCTGTACTTGATGAACTATGCAGAGGACAACATGTCACAAAGATATATTAGCTAAATAATTAATAAAAACTTTAGAGATTAATTTCCACCGAACTGCTATTCTACACGGAATCTTCTTTAATTTTACCGAATTTTAATAAAGGAATAAGAATTAAGAACTAGAAACTATAAAACTTACCACTTTTGTAAAATCTCATTTGATCAAGTGTAAAAATTCTTATCTAATGTGGAAAGGGTCTCCTATAATAATTTACAAATATCAAATTATCCGATAGTAAATCTCCTACGGATTTTCTCACGTGTCTAACATCTAAATAGGAGTCAGTTTACCATTCAAAACCCTCCGGGAGCCGCAGCTTGTCCTTTTATTGCGTGGTCTTATCCCATTAATTTAATCCTGCATCGAACAGTGATCGATAGAATTTTATTATTGTTAAACTATGGCAACGTAACTTATTGTTTACTAGTAATTTCCCTTACAAAATCGTTCTTTCATTGATTTAATTGCTCTGTTTTTTTTTTATTTAATTGATCTGTTTTGCCAGTCAGAAAGAATAAATTTAACTCTATCTTGTTTATGTATTGTAATCATTTCAGTTATTTTTGCTAATATTGATTAAAATTAAATCCTACGAATGAGTTACATATTAATTCATGATCTATTTTATACTACACAAGAAAAAATGTATTACATGATTAACGACTATGTTTAATCCATTTAGATAATAAAGAAAGAATGAAAATGATGTTGGATGGTAACAAATCCTACGTATTTGGTTCGGAAGACGATCCTTCTTTTCTACAGTTTATTAATTTGGCATCGTGTGCGGAGAAACAATTACATACACTAATGGTGAAGAAGAAGAGAAAAAGGACAGGGAGATTGAAGAGCTGATTGAAAGACAGAAAGTTAGTAGTGGAGATCAGTTGAAACGTAAGTATAATTGTATGAATAAAGAATAAAATTTAGAAAGTAACGCGAAGTGGAGATGCATCGGACCATTTTTTGAAAGCTATAAAATGCGTTGATGAAGAAAACGCCTTTAATCCCTTTTTAAATGCATAATACAAATACGTATGTACAATAACCCTTTATTGAAATTATATACTACGTATTTGTATAGGTATATTATATTATGTGATAAGAATTGTTAACGACACAATAATTTATAATTGAATAATGTTTTGCAGAAGTTGAAAGGACAGGAAGTGATTGCTACGAAATTTATTCCGCCTTGCACCGGGAAAAGAAACATTCGATTTTGTATACCTGATAAACGAAGAAACCATTAATTATCTTAATCAACACGGAAGATTGGCTTTTGTGATTAGAAACCCATCTGGTTCGAGCAAGAAAACACGGATGTGATCACGAATATCCGAGTATGTTCGGCAGATTCTTACTTTGATACTAATGAATCATCTGATACTACACCATCTTCTTCCTATAATCGAACCCAGATGAAGTTAAGAGAATCATCGGAATTCGAGAGGATTACCACACTCGTTACACTAATGTGTTTGATGTAGACAAAAGAGAGTTCAAAGTTCACTTTCGGGATTACCTCGAAAGCGCAATTTGAACAAGGCAAAACGACTTACGGCTCGATACTGTTAGAATACACAAACGACGATCGTACTTCGAAGCTTTTCTCAGTGTTCGCTGACCCCGTCGAGTTAAATTTCTTGGTGGAATTGTTAAATAATGTTGAAATAAAGAAGCAGAAGGCGGGAAGAATAAAGGTTTACAGAAAATGAAGTACAGTAATTATAGAGACCAAAGATTGTTTTAAGAGTAGTGTTTATACTAAATTCCTGTTTATAAGAATTTCGTTAAAATTCACATCTTTTAGTCTGTCTATGGAAAAACTCGACTCGACAGCAACGTCACTCGTAAATACCCAAGTTCATTCTTTCCATAGACAGACTGTAGCGATCGAGTGGATAAAATCACTGGACACCAGAAGCGGGTGGAGTTAATTTAATGACTAAGTCATTTGTTACTAGAGGTAGACGTTAGGCGCCATCTCTTATCTAAATTAATAATTATAATTTATTAAATAATTTAGAATCATCTGAAAAAAAAAACTGGCACGGGCAGGGTTCGAACCCGCAACATCCGCTTACCGTGCCTGGTGGAGCAACTGGCAAGAACACCCCACTAAATTCTTTAATAAATTATTAAAATTATAATGCTTTTGAGGAATTTCTACTCCAAGAAATCACACCAGTCGTAGATCATTTCGGAGATTCCTATATTGGAATACAGTAGAGCCTCGATTATCCGACCCCCGATTAACCGACACCTCGGTTAACTGACCGTCCTAGTCGGCAAATTTCAAATGTCCGCTAGTGATGTGGCGCTACAGTATTTGGCTATGTCTTGTCCACTTTAATATTATTTTTACGTGTTTTAGCTGGCAACACTCATTCGACCATGAAAGGGAACCAGTATTTAAACGAGGCTTAATAAATTAATTTTCTAATTTTTAACGATACAATAGCGACGATTATTATTTTAAAAAATTTTTGTTAGGCTTAACATCGATGAAAATTCAACGCAAAGTAGGTTAATAGCGATATACTAATATACTAATTACATGGGATATAATAATATACTACACTAATAATGGATTATTTCATACTTTTCGGTTATCCGACTTTTCAATTATCCGACCAACCCCAGTCCCCAATTGAGTCGGATAATCGAGGCTCTACTGTACCACAACCGACATACGCCATCGAGATATGGAATACTCGTATGTATGAACAATCCGAAGATGGATTACCAAAATACAAAGAATTCGGTGGAAGAATGGCATAGAAGTTTTCAGTCCAATGTTGGATGTTTCCATCCACCATTTGGGAATTCATTGGATTTCTTTAAAGAAAATAAGTATTACAAGTTTACTTCAATGAAATTTTGGATGGTCATCTGTCACAAACTCCAAGAAAGAAATGTTCTACTTCATATGCGTAGATTCTTACCATCGTTCGCAATATTATGGACTATCTTCGTGGGATAACACACAATTTTTTTCTCTAACTCATATTTAAATAATATTAAATTGCAATTTTTATCGGGAATTTCAATATTTCAACTATAAATGACTAATTGATAATTTAATTCTGAGATATTCGTATTAACTTTTAGTATTTTTAAAAAATTTGTATCAGCATTTTGTTGTATTAAATAAATTTTAAAGAAACTTTAGTTTTAAGAAGAGCTTTCATTTTTACACAAAATGATAGTTTTATCCAGGAGTTACTGTCGGAGGGAATATTCCAGGGGATTTTACATAGCGGGATTATTGTCCAGAGGGGTTTTTAATGCAGGTTTTTATCCAGAAAGTTATTGTCCTGTTACGGAAATTTCTACAATCTGCAATCGTGCAATCATGCAATCTTTCTCAAGAAGAAAGAATATTCGAGTGTGCTTCCCAATCGCCGATCCCATCCGCCGCCGTCGTTCTCCCGATGTCGCTCCTTTGTTTGGACAATCGAGATTCTCTCTCCAGGAACCCTATTCGGATTTCTCCATCTAGAAGCTTGAACTTTTCCCAAGAACTTGAACTTTTTTACTCGGGTGCACCCGCTCCACGACCGTCCGACGAAGTTCAATAATCGACAGAAGATATTATCGCCGCGCGAAAAATAAATGTAAACTTTCTCTCTCTCTCGTTCAGGAATCCGTTATCCTTGGATGGCTCTATATATCTAAAATGTATATAAATAAACGGGTATTTTACGTTCAAGTTAAGTAGTAGTGTGCGCTTCTTCCGATCCGCCGTCTCTCAATCCTCCTCCATCCTCGAATCAGATGGCCCGCGCGAAACCTAGTTCAATACATAAATAAGAAATAATAATCAACATAGAGTAATAACGGACTCCCGAAGAAAGTTTAATGTTTCTCCAAATGGAAATTAAATCCAAGACAATATGAGTTCTTCCCGAAAGACACGGGAACGATTCAATTCCAGGACATACAGCGGTTGTGTATTTTTACTCCGACAATGACATAAATACATTTAAAACAGCGATTCCCAACCAGAAAAACACCTCTTTCGGGAAGCCCCGAAAAAAACCTGGGCATTTTCAAACCCGTCCGGTTTCGATCCCGGGTCCCCCAGAGCTGTAGGCTGCCACCTTGCCGCTCGGCCATCCGGCCTGGCAACATTATACTAACATTGACGAAAGAAAACAATTTAAGTGGAGAAAAATCAATAGGCAAAATAATCAAAAAATTTCTTAACGCTTTATTTTTATTTTCGGTTCAAAAAAAATATTCGAGATTAAAATGTCAAACGTATTCAAAATTTACGTTCGGCCCTCTAGCGATCGAATTATGCGTAAGTTGTATTTATTTTACGCCCCCATTGATACGGATTACGTCAGCGGTAGGCTCATGGCGCCTCCCATTGGCGTCTAGGAAGTTTGAAGCTGGTAAGTCCTATACGTATCGTCGATTTTAAATGCGTAGCAAAGTATAAATTTGTATTAAAATCGCCACCTTTACTCAAATTTCGTATAAACTATTAAAAAAACGGAAGCAAGAGTACGTACATATTTAATTTATGCGTGTTGTATGCACACGGTTTATCATGCCTGACCTCTATGTAAGTGTACAACTTTCATTTACTTTTTAATATATTTGCTGCCTATGATAAAGGTATGATATACTCTACACTCTAACTTGATCCTAAGACACACATACAAATTATATATGCAGATTTTGCTTCACTCACTCATACATTTAATATACATTTTAATGTACCCACATCTGTTATAATTGGAATGTTTGATCAGCAGTTATGTCAGGTTGTAAAGGTGAAATGTAGACATTTTGAAAAAAAACTTGATCGACAATTAACTTGTGGGTAATTGCCGTCGGTATCGATATTATCTTGCTGTCTTTGCTGCAAATTTCCAATCCCGTGGGTTTAGAACGACTGGGATTTTTCTTTGAAGAATGTAACGCGCGTTGGGTGTCGTGTGTCCGACCGCGTGTTGGCGGCGGGTTGCGCCCGGTCCGGGCCGTAGGGCGAGCGGGGTGGAACCTCTCCGCCGGCTGTCCGTGCTCTGTGCCGGCGTATTGTCGTGGCTGTATCGAACCGTGTCGATGTTTGGATGAAGTTCTTTGATCTTGGTGTTCGTACGATCCGGTTATTCTCGAGACTCCTTTGGGACGACGCGTGTCGTCGTCGCCTGCTGCGCTTTTGGCCCTTTGACGTCTGCGGCAGCCGGTCGATCTCTCTTTGCCTGTAAATGCTTTGACTAGACGAGACCGTGAGCTTTTGTGACCGCCGACTTTTTGACGCGATAAAGAATTGGTAAGCAAATGTGTTCTTTTGAAAGTTTTGTTGCATCCGTTTCCAATGAAATGCCTTTTTTTACTATATACCCATACCAATTGTTAGAATTAGGAAAAAAGTCTAAATTTCACTTTTACAACCCGATGTATAATAATTAAGATTTCGCTTTAGCACCCGATGTTTATTAAATATAAGAAAAACACGTGGCTCGAGAGATCTTAAACAGCACTTTATTATTCGGTAGTCCATTTTTTTTATTTTTTCCGAAAATTATCCCATTTTTGTTCCTCGCCGGCTTAGCTGCCGGACTACTGTACGAGGTATACAAACGAGTACGTACAGGGAACTGTATTTCACAAAAGATGAAGATGAACATTTATACATAATGAAGTTTTGGACATTTACAAATGATTGACACAACATTTTGACAGCTTTCAAAAAGTGATGCATCTGCAGAAAAACTTCACTTTTCCAACAGTCACTTTCATTTTCAACCATATGACATATCTATTCACTAATCTAACCAATATTTACAAAGGGTTTGCCTTTATATTCCTGCTGCAAATATTTTTTATTTCCTTTTCTGAGATTGGATGTAACGACAATATTTTGGGTATTCTTTTACTTAAATCACTGAACTGAAAACAATAATGTGATCTACATTATCCATAAACAGATTTTACACAATGTTTCCTTGATGTAATTTAGTAATATATATGAAATATTACACAGATAAGTTACATAATTATTATTTTTTTTTAAATGAACTCTGCAATTCTTTACAGAATTGCTTACAGAAAACCTCAAGATAAATATTTGTATTTATAATGTTTTATAAACACACTACAGTAAGAAACAGTTTATCATAGATTAGTACACAATAAAATCCTTTATATTTTACAAACAAGCAAATAATTATAATTTGTTACATAATTTGATACAAAAACTTTTAATAATTATAAAGCTGTCTTAATAAAATTGAAGCTACCCTATTAAAGTCTGATCACTCAAACCAGCTGTGTCTATTGTTATTACTTAGTATATTATCTAATATAGGAAGTAACAATGCAATACCAACAGTCTATTTGTTTTCTCAATTCTGTAATTATTTTACAAGGAAAACATGAAAACAGACAAACTATTAGGTTATTAAAATGCAATATCACATCCGTCGGTATGTTACATTAATAAACTATTACTTTAAAGCACATTATACCACGGCGTAACTTTCTTCTATTGCAAGTCATGTCGTTTTGGTATCGTGATTTTATGTTGTGCAGTAGGACGACCGGATTAAACTGAAATTATTTTCTGTACATTTTGGACGAGTACAAATATATTTACTGTTTTTAAAATGAATATTACGATTGCAAAAGACAAAGACAAATCTTGATTTCTTGGTAATTTTTAAATTAAAAAAATATGACTAGAAGGATAGTCTTGTGATTCCCGGTTAATTTATCTGGTCGTCCTAACTTTTAAAAATATTTGTTAAATAATGTTCTTCCTGAGAAATTAACACAGGTGGGCTAGTTACTTAATTGATGACTAGCTTAGACTTAATAGAGGAATGTAGCAACGATAAAGTTCCGGTTGAGTATTTCACTTTGTACTTACAATAATTAATACATTGTTTAATCAATTTAGAAGTAAATAACAAACCAAATGATCACTTTTATAAATTTTAAAACTTCAAATGTTGTATATTTTATTATTGTGTAAATTAAAGCTGCCAATGCAATGTTTCTCGAAATTCTGTTTTTTTTCTGTTTGTCTGGTTCTGTACAAGACAACGTACATGTGATACAGCAATAATAATAATAAAAATATTTTTGCAATATCACACCATACCTTATATTTAAAGATAAAAATGACTCTTTAGAAAGCAGTTTAAATAAAATAAAGTATGAGACATGAGTGTTAAAATTAATTACATAAAGTCCAGAAAAGATGTTATTTCATAAAGACTATGAAAAATATCTTTGGCAATCGTCCTGCTTATTACTTATGATTAATGGCCATATACAAATGTTTTTGATATCTCTGATATTAATGATTTATCCAGTTTCTTATTTTTATTAAAAATGTTAAAACATTTAATAAATATATTTTTAATGGAAATAAGAAAACAGTATTTGGGAATAGATATTTTATCTGTTAACAATTAGTAAAGGAAAAGTTCAAGTGCACGATCTTCTATATTTATTATTACAACCATTAAAACATTTACAACAATTTTGAGTCGTAGCAAGAAGACAAATGATTGATTATAGATTTACTAATCTGTTTATCTATTTACTTTCATGAATTTTTGTAATTGAATAATTCTATTCGCACCCTATTTCAATTAAAAAATTGGATGAAAATTATAGTCACTATAATTATATCAGTTATCAGATATTACAAAGTTTGTATGACTCAAAAACACAAGGAACGTACCAAAGGTATTGAAAAAGTGGGCACAACTTCTTCATTTATTGACATAGGTCCTTCAAATTGGACATGTTGATAAAGTACCTCTTCCCCTATATGAAGATACTATTAAATTATATACTAGTCTTCATTATAATCAATGGATTTGCATCAAATACCTTTTGTGTAGAGGAAGAGTTACTACCAATAAGTCCAATTTGAAGGACCTATATTGGTAAATGAAAAAGCTGCTTCCGCTTTTGCGTTGCTTTTGGTAGAGCCCTCGTATCTTGTAACTTAAAATTATTTATCGTTGTTTAACATTAATTATAAATTACTTATATGCTATATAATTAACATAGATATTCTCATATTAGACAATTGTATCTAGAATAGTAATGATACATCTGTTTCTTTATTTCCATTAAAAATGTTTTAAAATATTTGCACACTAAAACAAACCGTAGCCATGAGCAAATAGTTTGAGTAAGATAGGAGATGTGATGTTATTAATTATGTAATGGCAGATAAATACATTAAATGACAACTGTGTGGCCTTATTTGAGTAAGGATAAATGTGTATCACTGATGTAGGTGGTGATTTAATGAATTATTATTAATGCAAATACAACATCCTCGCTTAATTTCTGTTAACATTATGAAATCAAAAACTTCTCTGAAAAATATTTAACACAAATTAAAAAATTCAAAGTATTCCCAATATATATCTCAGAATCATACTGTACATACCAGATTATCTAGATATTTGCTCTGAATATTATCATCTCATTCAGGATAAACATGGTCCCAGATTTTTTCTTAAACATACAATTTTATGTTAATATACTTCTTTCATTTGTATACTTATTCTTCAACTAATTCTTATACTAGAATATGTATTTACTAAGTGGTCTTCTATCTTATATTCCTCAAATCCTACAGAACGATTTAGTTTTCTTTCTTTTTTTTTTTTGGTTGTTATTTTTTTTAGTTTAACAAAATTGTGGTTATGCATTAAGTTATCGATTTTATTAAATATTTACAAGTCGCTTTTAGACAAAACAAACACATCCAGCTATTACACATTTGGAAAATTTTTGTTCATTATAATTTTCATAAAATTAAAAATGATAATATCGTATTAAAAAAATCAATAAACAGTACATTGTGTATATATATATAGATATATACCATTTAGATCAACTGTGAAATTTATACAATGGAAAAAAAAAATAATAATAATAATAAAAATACACTTCTGCTTTGTAGATATCAATTTATAATTTCCTTAAATAACAATAAACAAAATATTGACATACTTATAGAAAAAATAGTTTTTATCATATTTTAATTTTTGTATTTCACGAAATTTCTACAGTTTAGCAATTAAAAACTACAAAAAAATATGTGTGTATAAATTAGGTTCATTTTTAAATCAAACGAAATTTCGTGAAATGCAAAACTAAACTAAATAAATATGAAAATGGCAGTTAGGAGCATCTAAAAGATGCAAAATCAAAATTATAAAATATATATATATATATTTTATGACTGTTATTTTATTTTATTTTTTTAAATTTACATTAAATTTATTGCTGCTATTGTTGGTTCGGATAAAATTCTAATTAAAAAATTACAATGTAGAAAACGTTCTAATGATTAATTTATGACGGATGTAGTTGAATGTATCTATAGCACCTAAACAGTTTCTGGTTAACTGAAATTTCCTTAGTAAATCTTTACGGTGAACTCTCTAGAAATTGTATTTAAATTAACTTTCTAAACTATAGACTCGTGAACAGAAATTAGTAAGTCAAAACTTTACTCATTAACTTATAGAAAACTGTACCATACTTGTTGCTCTTTCAAAAAATATATCTATTGAGATCCTGACAAAAATACATGTAAACAACTACCAGAAATTTGATTTTTTTCCCCCTCTTACATTCCTAATACAAAATATCTGTTTTAACTCAATCTTTTTTTGCATTAGAATTTAAATTGCACCAATGATCAGTTTTTAAATTACCAATATATTGCTTTATTCCCTTTGCCATTTTAAAATCTGTTGCTTTTTGATAGAAACAAAAGAAATATTTGCTCCAAAGAATTGTACAACTATAACTATAATTAAATAATTGATGTTTTATTGGATTATTTCTAATAATACACAATCTTTTCAGGTATGTATTCATTTGTGAATATCCTGAATAATTTGTGAGAAATGACAATTTTAAGCATGGATTAAATATTTTTCAGCAAAAGTTACTTACATACTTTTTAAAAATAATTTTTACCATACAGTTCTTCTAGAAAAATTAGAACAAAATACAATGGGTATTCTTTAATTTACTATTTTTTTAGAAGGATAATTTAAACAGCTGCCTCCAGATCGCATCATATATAAACATTCAATCCATAACTCGATTTTTTAATTAAAGCCAAGCGAATTACCGGATTATCAAGCTATATTAAGCTAATTTTAATATAGTCTGATAATCCGATAGTTTGTTTGGCCAAATTGTATCATTCTTCGAGCAAATAACTGCCATTTTCTAATAGTAAACTTTTATATAAATTAATTCTGTATAAAGTAACCTATTTTGACATAAAGGAAAGTATAATTATCTATTGCTATCTAGTTTAAAAGGATGGATTAGTTTTCTTTCCATAAAAATATATCATCTGATTTAGTTTATGTATTGCATAGAAATTATTACTGCTACATTACCCGCCAAATCAATAGCTAATGGATCAATGAAAAGCTTTTTGTTTCTGTATCCATATACTATATAATTTGGTTTTTGCGTAAGAAATGATAAATATTTTGTGTTATTTAAATAATAATTTCTATTATTAAAATATCAATTAAGTCTTTAGCATAAAATTTAGATTAATCCTTTGCGGAGTGAGTTTCTATGTACTTAAAACAGTTTTCATCTAGTGTACTGTGTCATTTTTCTACCGCTATAACTCTTACAAAGAGAATAAGTTGACTTTCTCAACACACCAATATGCACACTTCCATATAAATTTCAAACTGCCACTCCTCAAAGGTTTAAAAGTTACACATTATTTTTCATTTCCTTTCACGTGTCATATTTTACAAATCTAAATTACTATTCAAACTATGTCTCGTGTGCATCTACAACGAGATTCTCAAGAGCAACATGCTATCTAAATGGAAACCAAATTTTCATCATTGAACCAAATAATAATTAAAGGAAAGATTTACTTGTGAATATAATCATTGTGTTTTAAGGAGTGATATTTTTTGAAATTATGCATTTAAGAAAATCATTCTGCAGAGACGGTCAAATCTGTTGTCCTAAAGAATCTTTCTGCAGATGCATGTACGAAAATATTTCAAGCCTCATAAAAAAAAAAATTATTTACAGTTGTATACAATGGGAAGGACAAATAAGTAGACTGTTGGACTGATCATCGATGGCATGATATATGTAGAACAATGATAAATATGGACAAAAGTTAACTTTTTCATGAAATGACATTCACACATATAACACACATACTGTTCAATTATAAAACCCATACCTTGTTTTAACTACTGTTACATATGGGTTACTTGGGATATGTTTGTCCTTCTTTAAATAAAACTGGATATAAATGAGGTCCCACGTGATACTGATATTGAAGATTTCCTTGATCCACAATATCTTTATAACCGTCCAAATTAGTCTGTTTACTTTCTGGAGGAATATAATAGGCAGTAACTTGTGGTGACCAGAATGATGACCTTAATGAAGTATATTCCAATGACTGCGATGAATAGGTATAATTATATGAAGATATACTTTTTGAAGTACTTTTTACATTATTTGGTAAGGGAGAAGGACTCGGAGTACTGGGAATATCTATGGCCGAAGAAGTCACACCATCAGAATTCATTATCGGTGCCCTATTTGATAGAGCGTCCGGATGTAGTTTTCTGTCCTGCGATAAACTATTATAAAGTTTTGAATTTCCTATGTTGTTAATAACTGGAATGGTTAGATGAGGAGATGATTTCATGACGGACACTACAAAAGGACTACTATGATATAATGGTGGTTCTATTTCTTCTGGAGGCGGTGTTATATTTTCTATACCACTAGGTGGTGATGTAGCTGTTGTATTTATGACTTTTCTTTTCAGAGACAGATCTAAACAGATCCCATCGGCGGGAGTTTTTGGAGGACTGGGTGAAGGCACAACAGCTTCCAATCCAGTTGATTGTGGCTTTTTCTTCAAACTTAAATCTAGCACAACTGGAGGATTAATGTCATCTATTGGAGTAAAAGGTGTTGTTTTATAATTAACATGCGCTTGACCTAATCCACTTTTAATGCAGGAACTAGGAGGACTATTTAACTGTATACGCTTCGGTTGATCGAAATACGGTTCATCGTATTTATACTTACTGTTTCTGGAAATAATAGAATTTGCATACGCCTCCAGTTTAATAGTTTGCACATTGTTGTTGAATGAGGTTTTCGTATCAGAACTAATTATCGGATGCTGAGAAATGCACGAAGAAATTTTTGGTTTTTGAGATGCCAGAATACTTTTTAATTCTTTATCAGTTTGCAGATTATCTTCCTCCATTTTTATCCTAGATAGTTTATATATTTTAGAATGCTTATTTGCATTATCATCCTGACAATTTTTCAGAATGCTTACTTCGAGTGAATGATTTAGTTTTGTTATTTCTGTTATCTTGCATTTATCTTGCAGTTTATCGTACATTTTAACTTTGTTTACCGTAGTGCTGGGCACAGATTTAATACCAATACTCTCAGATAGTTTTTTATTAAGAGGAAGAATTAATTTATTTGACTCTTCTGAATTTGTCGTATTACCTTTATAATGTGCTACTGATGACAGCGACGAAAACACAGGTGACGTAGACGAATTATGCTTATCTTTTATTAATGTAGGCATAATTTTCCTATCTACTGTTCTGGCTGGTTCAGTATGACAAATGACAGATGGACGAAGCTGACAGTATTCGTTATTCTTGTCGTACCCTAGGCTCTTTGAGTCCGGATCGTAATTTTTATTATGAGGAATGTGTATTGAGACATCCTCCGGAGAAGTAGAATACTTTTCATTTGCATAGCCAAACGTGGACTGCCCACTTGGAAGAGCTACACTTTTTCGATGCATAAGCGGAGACATGATACTAAAACTATTTCTGTTTTTCTTGTCACCATTAGACACACTATCATATTTTGCAGGAGAATACTGTCCCAAATAACAAACTTCTTTGGTTAAAGGAATTGAGCATGAGGATTCAGATTTACTTATGTTGGAAAACATAGAATTCACATAAACTTTAGCAGTTGAATTAGAGCAATTAGAGTAATTATTAACTGACACGATGTTACCATTTCCACTTGCTTTAGTTTCGTTCATTCGTCCTGATGACGAATTGTGTTCGGTTGTGGGAAGATAGTAAGCATGAGATGAGGATGAAATTAATTTAGAAGAATGGTTGGAATTAGTATGACAATTACTTGATAAAATTGACAACACTGGCTGTCTAGTTCTAAGAATATCATCATTTGTTTTAGAAATATGCTCAATATTATTAGGTTCTGATTTTATTTTGGGATGAGGTTCTTGATGTTGTTGCATTGCATCTTTTAACATTTGTTGATACCTCTCTAAAGTACCTTTTTTCGCTGTCTTTATTGGATGCAATTGACGAACCTAAACAAAATAAAAAGACTCATTAAAATCTCATTTGGCATATTTAAATTTAAAAAAAAAATGTAAAAGTTTCTTTTTTCTAAAATTTTGATGATTATTATATCAATGCAATTAAAAATTTCTTATGCAGAACATAAGTTAGGAAATGAGCAAATTAAAAAATTTACCATCTTAAGAATTAACTGTTTTCTATTAGTTAAAATACATTATTGTAGGAAACTTTATACAGGGTCTTCTAAGAAGAATTCTACCTGTTTAATTTAATTTTGTTAATTATTATCCAAGATGGTCGTGATAAACATTGAAAAATTGTCCAAGCTTCACATTTGCCCATTAGTTTCTCAGTGCATGCATCTCATGTCACCAACACATACTTAAATTTTTCCTATGCTTGCTACAGCACATCTGTTGGCCCTCCTCCTGTGGTGGCCACAATTCTACAGCTCCTGCAGATTACTCATATTACACAATGATGAGTTATTCTGACTTTGCAAACTGCAGAACCCAAGATACCTTCTCTATTGTGGAGTTGTCATTTTCCTAGAGATAATAGTCAACAAGACATTTGAATGCCGATGGGATACAAAACTCAGAGAGTTATTGTATCAATTGCATACTTTTTGGATAATAAATAACATAATTAAATAATTTAAAATAGTAGAATTCTTTTTGGAAGGTCCTGTGATTGTTTTTCATATGAATAATAATTTTTTATATTACCAGTATAAATTATAACAAGATTACATAACAAACAATTAAATAGAACTTGAATTTCTGTTAGGAGAATTAAGCTTTTCAGGTAAATCTACTAAGAACTTACTCTTATGTTAAATTTAAGAGAAATACCTTACACATGTAAATTTCAAAAATTAAGATATAAATAATAGTATCTTAATATGTAGATATAAAGAAATTATAAATATTTATATGCTTAATTAGGCAAGTTATGGCTGATCAAATCCAGCATTATCATTTGATTAACTTAGTTTCAGGCTTAGTTTAGTGTATATTTATACAATTGTGCAAATGTGAATTATTGTTGTATTTTTCATTTATTAAATATTAACATACCAATAAAACATTTTTCATTCGTGCAACATATCTTTGTTTCTTGGCATCCAAAGGATTTATTTTACCAAAATCTGCATTTACACAAATATCTTATTATTTTTATCAAAAATTTATATGTATTATAATAGTGTATTGCAAATACAAACTTTGTCATCCTCTGCACAGAAAATGTTACATAATACAGTTGACCCCCCCTATAACACTGTTAATAATTCTGTTTTATATGAATTCCATATTGTATGAGTCACTTAGATTTTACAAATACGTATGCCGGGCTGTGAACGGCTCACGTATTTGTAAAATCTGAGTGACTCATATAACATGTAATTCATATAAAACGGAATAATGAACAGTGTTATAGGGGGTCGACTGTATTTTAATTATTTATTACTTTTCAGTTTTTCCAAACACAGGATGACATAAATGTAAGTGTGAAAGCAAAAACAAGAAGATTTAGCATCAAACAGTACTGTACATATAAAATATAGACATTTCTCATTTGGAGTCTTCTAATAGAACCACAAATGTTAAGGCTTCTATGATATTGCATTTATTAAGCAATTGCTCAAGTAATAAATCTACTAGACATTGAGTGTGTTTGGTACTGCTAAAACTTAATGTTAAAGCTAGGTGCAACCGTACTACATGAGCATTGGCCAATAGAAATGAACTAGCTTTGGTGTGTTAAAAACTACATTATATAAATGCAACTGTAGATTTTGAATCAGTTGCAACTGAATTTTAACAAGCTTTTTCTTATAAACAATATAAAAACTGTCAATAAATTATTTCATTACAGAATACATAAGTGAATGAAAGTCCTTGTCTCTCTCTCTCTCTCTCTCTCTCTCTCAAGTATGTATAAATCTTTATTCAAACAATTTGGTAATTCAAATCTGGCCTACAAACCTTTTTTCATTTCACATTTTTATAACACTTTTCTCTTATATATATATATATATATATATACATACATATTTTTTTAGTCATGAATCACTGTACTTTTGTATTCTACTGTTCTTTTTTTAGATCAGTGTTTCCAAATTTCTTGGATTACTGCTCTTTCAGTGCATGTATTTCCTATATATTTTTTTGCTTCAAAATGAATTTTTGTTCCCTTTGTCTTGCAGCATCCCCTCAATTTTTATAATTTCCTCAAGGGTGGTAGCCCCCCACTCTGGGAATCACTGTTTTAGAACATCCTGTATATATTGAATAAGATGTGTTTACTCAACTAACTTTAAAAAATTTTTTTGGTGCGATTAGTGTTCCAAAGTAAAAAATTGTCTCAAAATTTACCCAATTTCTTGCTAATGCATTCTTTTTTCTGATTTCTTTCCACTTTCTTTCTCTTTCTTCACAACCATTCTATTAAAATTACATTTAAAAAAAAAAATTAAAATTGCTCTCCAAAACATAAAAAGTGCTAAAATTTATTGATATTTAATCTACTAAAATCATTGAAAACAAAAACTTCTTAATAATAATTTAAATCCATATATTAACACGTATACAATTTTCTTCTGATTTTTCTAAGAATTTAACCTAAAAACAATTCCAAACTAAAAATGGTATTGATACAAAGTAATTTATATCTTGATAACAGTAAATTTTTCTTGTACACAGCCATTAACAAATAATTATTGACTGTGAAAGTTCACGTATTTATGCATTTCACAATTTGTGAGTCACCATTTGGAAAGAAATCAAAAAAAGCTCTTCACTTAAATGAGTTACATTGCTATTTCCTCTGATTATTTAATTATAGAAAACTCAACAGGCTAATGAGAGCCTTTATTGTTGTATATGATAAGCTTTAACATGTTCAAATGTAAAAATGATGGTATATTTATTAAAAATACACAAACAAAATCTTGAAAGACGTCCCAGTAATCGCACTTAATGCATTTACAATTTATAATGCAAAATTTAACGATCGTATGGAATGATTTTGAATCTAATCATTTCACAGATGAGCATCATAATGACTATGTATATTGAGATTCATGGTACAAGTTATAGTAATTTAAAATAAAATTTTTCTTTAACATTAACTTTACCTTATTATTTTAATTTTAAAAAACAAAAAAATTTATTATTATATTTGCTCATAGATGGCACGGTTGCAGAGTGACTGACAATTGACGACAGGACGTATTTTCTAAAAATACTGCAATTTTCTTTATAAATATATATGACCTAGTTTTTCAATTATTTCAACATTGTTGCGCAATATTAATCTGTATAATTTACAGTTCTTTTTCTTTAATGACACATTAAAAATGAAGGTGTATATAATGATTTATATTATTTTTAAATTAGAAATACATTATAATGTATTAATTTTTTAAAAATTAACATGTGCAGTATTTTTAATTCAATTTTTTAGATTTAATTTAATTAATATACTGTGCGCAGTCGAAAAACTGATGAAATATATCTTAGACTATAATTAATACACAAAAAAAATTCAATTCAATGGACGAGATGACACCATGCAGTTGTAATAAGCTACTAAATACACAAATATTTAAGAATCTAAAGAATATTTTATATCTAAGTATTTATTGGGTAATTTAGGTTTTCATTAGAGTAAATTATACATGCATTACAGATTTTTTTACAAATAATAATCAAAAAAGAAAGTACTAAAATGTTAATTACTTTCGTAACAGGATATTTTGCAATATTCATTTGGGAGGAAAATGTGCAATTGGAAATCATAGTGTGTTTAATATTAGTCATGCACAAATACTTTTTACTTTTTTCTTCTAATAAACATAATATTGTCTTAAGATATTAAAAACTTAACTGTTTTTCTGATTGCACCTCATATCAAAGCTTTTTTTCACTTAATTTTGCTTAAAAATGCAAATAATTTAAAATGCTTTGTTTGAGAACGTCAATAAACAAATTGATTTTTAATACAGTAAGTCCAATTAAGCATGATACAATGCAAAATAACTTATCACATAGGCGAAGGTTATCTTCCAATTTTACACATTTTAAATTTCATAGATGCATCCTTAATTGATGCAAACAATCTGTGATATCATTGGTCTATAATAAGGCTAATTTAATAATTAGAAATTAAGTAATTTGACTACAGATAGGCAGCATCTCATGATAATTTTAATTAGAATTTCTGGAAGAAAATAATCGTCCCAGAACGGGACTCGAACCCACGACTCCCGTTGAATGTGCAGATACATTGCCAATTATGCTATCTTGACCTCCATCTAATCTATGCTTCCAGAGCTATTAATATGGTTATAATCATAATTGTCACTCTCAGTGATGAATCTGATTATTAAATTATAGCCTGATAATTTGGCAGATTGTTTTGCTTTATTTCTATGAAATCTTTATATCCACCATCCAAGAAAATTGTACAGTAAAACATTACTAAATATTCTTTTATTTGTTACAGCAAAATATGCAAGTTCAATCCATCTTGAAACTTTTTTAAAATAGTAATTAATTGTAACTTGACATTGTTCATTTTATAATTTCTCATATTCCAAAAGTCATAAATCAATTACAGTAATAAAGTTAAGTGGAACATTTCTGATGAGTGAGAGGAAAATTACTTATTTAATAAAGGAGAATATTAATACATTATTATGTTAAGTAATTAAATATCTATTATTAGGAGATAATTTTTTTTTAAATTTTTTATGATTTATTCTAAATTTTGTTGCTTCTTGATTTATGATTTAAAATTTATAATTAATATCATTATTTTTTTTTTTTTTCAGGAATAAAAAAAAATAGTTCAGTCAATATAAAACAAGAGATTTTCATTTAAATCAACTAATATTTGCAGAAAATTACATAAATGGTATGTTTAAAATTAAATATAATTTTGTCTTATCTTAGTTTAACATTACACCAAAAAATTAAATATGTTTGGGAAATAATTAAATTTTTTGTAAAAACATATTACACTCCACAAACATGATTGAACTTATATAAAATTGTTTTTCTTGGAGTTTAGAAGCTTGAATATCGGTATTCCGGTGCTTTTGGGAAAGTGATGCTCATCTTCAAGAATACAACATAAAAAGAACATCATTGTCTTTTATATAATGCTTCTCAGGATGAGCATCACTTATTGAAAGCACTGAAATACCTAACATTAAAGGTTTCTTAATGCAAAGAAAACTGATATACTGCACAATTTTTGAACAAAACAAAAATTAAAATTACATTAATTTAATACAACATAGGAAATTTTAAAAAATTTAATATATAATAAATATATAAAATTTTGTTACTAAACAATCTGCCAGATTATATATCAGGATATATTAATACAACTTTTTTTCTTTCAAAAAATGGCTGATGAATTAACACATTAAAAAATACATATAAAAGACTAAAATGTCTTGATTTTCATCATGTTGAATCACCAGGAACAACATTTTAGTTCTTTATACATATTTTTTTTGTGTTTTAACTCGTCTGCCATATTTTTGAAAGAAATTGTGTATTTTAAAATTGTTTAGCTTGTCGCCTGAGAACTTTTTAGACTGTTTTGCATGTTTTCACAGGAGCATAGTCGGTAATAAAAGGTCATCTCTGTAATGGAAGACTGTTGTTCCTGGTGATTTGACATGACAAAAAAACAAGACATTTTTATACATCTTTTTTAATATGTTAAGATTAATTTAAATTATCTGTAATATAGTTCGATAAATAATCTGGTAGATTGTTTGACAATACTAATTAAATTGGGATTTTGTATATGCTACCTTTTAAATATCTATTGAACCCTACAATATTAAAACACTATCCCACCTACAACATCTAAGTGTAGATTATTAATGTAAGGTTATGAATAAGGTAGAAAATTTTAATTATAACATTTCTTTAAAATTTTCTATTAAACCATATCTGTGCAAAATTTTAAATAATTTATATATACATATCTTGTTTGTTCTAATCCTACTATAACATTATCTTCATTAAATAATTAACTTTGCTGCTATTGTTCAGCAAGACTAACATATCAAAATTAATTTGTTGTTTAGTATTATCTCACTATTTATTATATTTACACAAAATGCAAAGGAAAATTATATCATTTTCCATCTCAATAAAATCTTGATAATTTAGTCTTATTAATGGAAACAATATTATGCATTCTTTCTAATAGGAGAATAATATATACTGTAGTTCAAAAATAAACTGATCTAAAAATATCTTAATGATCACATAAAAAGTATCATTATATCACAGTTCCAAGTTAGTGGAACCTACTTAACTCAAACATGGTTAAATGGCATTTGCTTTTCCTCAAAGACATATTTCTCCCCATTACTTTAATGTAAGGATTTACATGTTAATTTGACTTGGTTAATATGAAATTGGGATATTTAATTTTTTTTTTTGCCAGTATATGCATGTGATACCTTGTTGTGAGATGAAATGACATTAAGATGTTTATCAGCAGATAAACAAATCATTGATGCCATTCCTCTCAAATGGCCAATGATAGATGCATCAGCCAGTTTGGGTGAAATGCTCAGCACTGACATAGTGGATCTTGTGCCATTCAAGGACAAAATGGCCACCAGCAAAAGCTGATTAATCACTTTTTAGACAAAATTTGAAACAATTCAGAAAGTAGAGAAAGGACCAAAAAAAACTAAACAGGAGATAGCCATTTTGGAGTGTCTTTTTCAATGCAAACAGTAATAAAATCAAAAGTGCTGCAGAATCTGATGCAAACATGGAAAAGGAAATACATTCATGGACCTATCAACTGCATTTATACATTGAATATTGAATTCTGCTGTGCAATAATGACAGCATAGGTAGGAATACTTAGGTAACTCAAAACTTTTTAACTTGAAGATGTAATTTTTTCATCCCAGGCATTTCAAATTAACCAGGTTCCACTGTGTCGAAATAAAAATACAAGGTGTTAATAAATTAGACCAACAAAAAAGTAGATAGTAGAGGATTAATACAAGTAACTTTGGTTATATGAACTGGAGGATTAATACAAGTAACTTTGGTTATATGAACTGGAGGATTAATACAAGTAACTTTGGTTATATGAACTGGAGGTTGTCAAAGCCACCCTTATGAGATACAAGCTCTTAAACTTTTGGTAGTGGTTATGCTCTGTAATGCATAAATACCATATAGAGAAATCTGATATTATTATTAAATATTTGTTAAAACTATTATAGAGTGCTGTTTATTCACACTGTTCTAAATACTACCATGAAACACAATCCATTCTGATAATGTGTAGGACTTAAACCTTCTACAGTTTGACAGTATAGCAATTGTTCATGTAGCACAGTCCAGACATTGAAATATTTTAATTGATTACCATCTTTTTATTGTTAATTGAA